GGGTTTGGCTTAGTAGATTTGGAAGAGGATAATTTGGAAGAGGATAATTTTGGAAGAGGATAAGAGAGGATAATTTTTTCTTTTTTGTGGGATTCGGAAATCCAAGTCTGTTTCGTATCTTTTTTTTTCTCTGTGGAAGTGAAAGAAGAGATACTCGGAAGCAGCTACCAGAGTGGTAGCCTATATAAGTAACGAAATATGTCTGCACGATTAGCATTTACCACCGAAACGAATCGTGGGAGGATTAAACCTTCAGCCACTGCATCAGATCGCTGATACTTTTTTTTTAGGCAACGGAAACAATGAATCACGTTTTTGCTACATATTTTCGCGTAATTAAACGACTTTCAACAAGCAGCTTATTGGAGCCAGTGCTGGAAGGCCTGGCAAAATTTGCCCATTTGATCAGTATTGAATTCTTTGACGATATGGTTTCTGCACTGGCAGCTCTCGTTAACGAACAGGCTTGTTTCATCTCTCGTTCCTGCTGAGTCGATACTCAGTCATTATTTTAGACAGTGTTTATGTTATCACGCTCTCGTTTTTTTATAAGTTAATTGGAATACAGCCGCGGGAGAGAGAATAGATATTTTGTTTTGAAGTTCTTAGGAATAGATTTTATCAAAGCTGTAAACTCTGAAATTCCTTTCCCCACCTCCCTCTTCCTCCAGTTTCTGCGAGCATATAAAATTTCGCTTACAAATTCATGTAAAAATTTGACCCGGATCTGATAGATCCAAGAAGTGTCATTTGCTTTGTAATTTTTAACCACATCTCGAAAACGATTATTATTAGCTGATCGTTCGGACTGGAAAAAAAGATTGATCTATAACGCCGCAATAACTTTTGTCCATATTCACTGCAATGAATGATAAATTAAGTTAAATGAAAGAGTTTCCACAAATTTTTCCAACTTGAAATTGCCTAATTCGGATATTTGCAGCATTTGCAATTAATCGACTCGCTGCGATGCATTTTTACGGTATTTGTGATACTTTCCGGAGAGGGTGTTGCGCTGAACATCGATCCATTTCGATTCTACTGGTCAATGTATCGTTTGCTTCCGGCTATAGTATTTGAAAAACTACCAGGTCCGGTGCCTGTTGCAGCGTTCGCACTTTTTATACTTTTTTGGAAAAAGAAATCGATGAATTTTTGCTAAAATTTAGCAGCAGCATATAAAAGTTTTATCTTTGTAGCCAAAACTGACAATAACATTACTCGGAGTCAAATCTCTCTTCTCGCATTTGTGTTTATTTGGATAAAAGTTGTTTTCGTTAACTGAAAATTCAGCGTCAGGACGAGATGTAAAGTGTAGTAGAATTTCAGATAAACGTGCAAGGAGTTTATCACTGGCATTGCATACGTTGGATTTGATGATTAATTCTCGTCGCAAGCAAGTTCCGGTAGCTCGGGTAGCAGCATTTGTCAAGCGGCTTTTGGCTCTGGCATTTTTCTTGCCAGCCACTGAAACATTGGCTGTATTGCTGTGTGTACGATCCTTTTTCATTGTAAGTTTACACGTTATTTTTATGCGTTTTTCTGAAAAATTCAAAATTACTACTTTTTGGTATAAAAAAAAACGCAGCAGTCATGCATTAACTGAGGAGAACAGCATTTGTTAGAAAGTTTTCTATATGGTACCCTCAAATTACCATGTTATGCCTCTTATATTTGGGAATCGTTTGAAAACCTGAGCTTTTTTTTGCTTCGTCTCGGTAAGAATTAGTATACTTTTTTCTGTGCTTCAATCCAGGAGCGATTTCTCGTTGAAATATTTTTTATTTGCGCGTGAACAGCTAGTTCAGAACATCACTGCTTTGTTTAGGCTTATCCAAAGTTGCATTGTATGGTTGAAGACACGGATGGCACTTCGTTTTCGGGATCATTTAATTCCACTACCGATGATCCGGATTGTTGTGGCGCTCTTTCTTCATCGGTCATCGTCGAAACTGATATGCTTTCAAAGGTTATCCTCACTTTCTGGATTCTCTATTATTTTTTATCAATTTGATAAAGTAGTATCATTGGTGGCACATCCATGCGAAGATCTTGAAACAGTTTTGATTTGTTTTTCATACAGCCTTTGTAAGGGTGAATTAGCATAACTTTTCCAGCAATTGACTTTTTTTTACTGTTAGCGGCACCTACAATCGGGTGCAGCTATTCGAAGTGGCAATGGCTGAATTTGGGATTTGATAAA